GCTTCCCAAAATACACAGCCAGTGAACTTCATGATGCTATAATCCCTTGTTTTTGATTTGCCAATGCGATTCACTTCTTCTGCAGAAACGAATTTTGCCGTTAAATAAAACTTCAATCCCTTGTTTTGATTTAGTAAAATGCAACTTCCAATGTATTTAGTCAGAAAACATGTCTTATCATATTACCAATATCATGTGATATCCCTGTATGCTTGATATCCTTTATATGAGGTCACTCACCTTTGGTATACCCTCCTCTGGTAGGTCTTCTCGATGGAGGCATATGAAGTAGTGGTGTAGTATGTCGTTTTTAAAGAATTATGTTTCAGATTTATGTTTATATTTCAGATATGTTTTGTCACCATTGTATCCGTGGTCATGGGGGCAGTGGGGTAGCCTAGTGGTTAAAGCGTTCGCTCGTCACGCCGAAGACCCGGGTTCGATTGCCCACATGGGTACAATGTGTGAAGCCCATTTCTGGTGTCCCCCGCCGTGATATTGCTGGAATATTGCTAAAAGCGGCGTAAAACCATACTCACTCACTCACCCCGTGGTCATGGATTGCATTCGTTCTTTCGTCACCCATTCACTGAGAGTCGATCTCCCACTTGATTCAGGGGTAGCCTTGTGGGACATTCACTCATGTCGTTTCGAGTTCCTATTCGGGTATACTTGCTATCGATTTACGATATTCCACTGTACCAACATTACCCATGGAGACAAATCAGTAAAAAGTCATTCAGAACCTTTCCACGTTTTGGGCTTTAGTTGTAAATGTTTACCCATTCTTTTTAAAACGCAACCTTGAATTAAATGTAATCAATCCTATCTCAAATTTTCTTAACCTCAGTCTCAAACTAGGCAGATCCACCTTCGGCTTTGAAACAGCTACAGATTCCTCTAGCGACAATGTCTGCATTCTTTAAGTGAATAACCCATCAGTTATGCTTTTTATGAACACCTCCAAAGGTACACTCCAGCAGCAATCATCTCCTATTCTCCAGCTATATAATTACTGCATTTTCCAATTTGTACCTGTAATGATATATCAGTCACGTAACTCGAGCGCGATTGTTTCAATAGCCCAGCGTTTACTGCGCTGATAAGACGAGTGTCTGGCTTTGCTCTTCAGCCTCATTTGTCGAGAACTATCTCCTCACCTCGGGAAGAAGCAAGGTTGATGCTAATTACGTACTACACGCTTAAGAAGAGAAAAAACCGCCTGAACTTGATCACTTAGCTTTCCGAGATGGACGTGCTTCGACACGTTTACTGCTAATCTGCCCATTGGGAGGGCGCCTCTAATATCTAGTGCCAGGCAGTTGGGAGTCTCCTTGCTCAAGATATTGCCGACAGACCCATGAGTCCATGTCTCTGCTTGATGGACTAGCCATGCAAAGGAGGCAATACGTATCTCAATATATTTCCATGCTGCCTGCTTTCCTGCTATAATGGCAGTCATTGCTGTATTTGATCATAGATTGTCTCAGTCGGTCCGCTTCTTGGTTGATGTGCTATATTTTCTTTGAAGTGTCGTCTTGAATACTACTTATAATAATCATAATAATAACAAGGTCAAATCCACAAATACTTTTGCGGTGCCAGACCAAACAAGACATCCAGAGTCTTTACCGCCTTACTGGAAGGATCATATCTGACAACAGAGCCCACCATCCTCGGTCATCTCTTAATCGTTTATATATGCCAATCAATTCGGAAGGTTTGATAAAAGGGTTTGATAAATGTGGAGGCTATTCATGATTTTATTGTGTACTCTTGCACATATGCATTTATCCGATGATCCTCTGGTGATGCATGTCAAGACTCATGATGAAAATAAGGAATTCCTAAGCTTTTTGAAGCGTGCCAAGAATCTCAAAGTTGAAATTGATTTTGCTTACGACGATATACTGCCTGACGGTACAGCGATGGGAGTAAACCAGGGGAATGTCATTCACAAAGTCTGCCCAGAATCGGTTATTTAAGGAAAGGCTTTCTGAGGAAATCTGCATCTTGTATACATGTAGTGTGTCGAACAGAATAACAATCCAACCGACACTTTCGCCTGGATTAAGTCGCCTTGACTTAAATGTGAAACAGAGGGCTTTCATTTTGCTGCCCAGGACCAGTCACTTCCCACTCGAAATCGCCAAAATGTGATTCTTAAGGATAATGTTGACATAAAATATCAACAATGCACTGAGACTTTTTAACACATTGCCAGTGGATTACCTTCCTTGGTACAAACAGCATATCTTAAACGCCATGATGTCATGGCTCGTTGCTTCTATTGCCATCTTCGCCATGCCTGCGGCTTTGACTCCAAGGTCCATCCATGTCCTGGGCGTCATGGAAAGTGCAAACGTCTTTGGAATAAATATTCATAGCTTAGGCTATATTTTGATAAGTACAGGAGCGCGCAAGAGCAACTGGAATTATAGAGAATCACGTTTACTGACATGTATGAGTGAGAACTCAGACGCTCTTGATGATGATGCCATCCTTTTATCATACTTATGTTGGCTGTTACCCATCTTGACCACCGCTGGTTCAGGTAAAATCCAGGATAAAACTGCCAAAATCTGTCAGCCGTGTGGGTTATAAACACGTTGGGTGATTATAGCCAATTTCACCTTCCGTAAATATATGCTAACGCTCGGAATATGTTTTATTATCGCCAGTTACCGTAACAACCGTTAATCGAGAGATACAACATACACGGGATATGATGATAAGCTGTTGGAAGCAGCCACTGTTAAACATTCGCTCATTTTATCGGAGACCAGGGTTCCAGTCCACTCATGGGAAAGAAATGTGAAAAACATTTAGTTTTTTTGCTGAAATATTGCTAAACGCGACGTACATCCTTAATTCCTCAATAATATACATAATTTAAGTTTCTAAAAAAAGTTTCGACTGTACGACTATACTATGGGCATATGTTTATAAGTCATTATTAGAAATTCTGATAGTGATGATACAGTTGTTCGCGAAAGATCCTTCCAAACTTTTGACAAACACATGCAAAGGCAAGCCAATTGTTCCCTGAAAAGCCATTTCTGCACGCTTTATGATCCCCGTGATAACTGCAACTTTCATCTTATTGTTGTAGACAGTGAGAACGACAGACACAAAAACGATTACGACAGGAAAAACGGTCCACATTCGCCCCATACTCGTTCCTCGTGCAATATTACATTAGAAATTGTAATATCGACAGTTATGGTGTATCCCAAATTGCTGACTTTGGTTGCACTGTTGGAACCACAATTTACATAACCCAATACCATCAATCAATGTTTACAAGTTTTTTTTTGCTTTACGGCATATTTCTTTTGGGTTAATGTTCATAGCAATGTTTGGAATTGATTTTAACGACAGTCACAAAAATGCACATTCGGCAATTTATGTTTATTTCCAGCAACTTTTATTACCTGTGAGAGCGACGAGGGAATTATTCGTTTTTTTATTTGATGTTCCTCTCCATCACTGCAAGATAGTGCAGCATGCCGCTGCAGATGCCGGCGACAGCAGTGTTGGAGATCAATGTTAATAGGCTTAACTCTGAGAAACGGCATAAAAAGGCAGTTTGTCAGAATTGGCGGAGCGTTGTGAAGCGTCGTAGCTTTTATGGCCTGAATATTGAAGATCGTTTTCCTTTGGTGCCGAGTGATGTATGAACACCATACCATGCCTGTGGAAGAAGTTCTGTCATATTGTCTGATTTAACGAGATCTATGCGTAATTTAACTGTTCTTTGAATAACTTTTGTCGTTGCGCCTTCTCTGAACGCATTTGAAACCTTTGAAGTTGTATTGACATGAAGAAGGGTGGCACTGAAGTGAAGAATGAACCGCACACTGTACCCCGCCATTTGTATGGACACGTGCTGTGATATATACACATACGAAGAGTATGATCGATAAGTTGCTAGTACTCGGTTTCTCCTTGGTTTTATTTGATGCTAGTATTGAAGGATGATTTCTTTCAAGCAGGATCAAACGCCAACAGTAAAAGCGGTCCTAATGCGTATTGTTTGCCTTTCCCTGAATATACACCGAACGCAGTCTTCACCAGGATTGGTAAATGTTATACACAGTGTATAATATAGTTAGTTTTCCAGGACATTATTATTATTTCCATCAGTAAATGTGTGTTACTTAAGTGCATTAGCATAGGTGAAATAGACAATGTTGCTTGCAACAGCAGCAATAGTAGAGGCAGTATCATCAGTTGCAATAGTAGAGACAGCATTTAGAAATAGTGGAGACGGTACCAATAGCCGCAATAGTGGAGGCAGTGTCATTTGCTGCAATAATAGAGGCCAGTAGCTGCAATAGTAGAGGCATCATCAGTTGCAATAGTAGAGACAGCATTTAGAAATAGTGGAGACGGTACCAATAGCTGCAATAGTGGAGGCAGTGCAATAATAGAGGCAGTATCATCAGCAATAATAGTAGAGACAGCATCTTTAGAAATAGTGGAGACGGTACCAATAGCTGCAATAGTGGAGGCAGTCATTTGCTGCAATAATAGAGTATCATCAGTTGCAATAGTAGAGACAGCATAGAAATAGTGGAGACGGTACCAATAGCTGTAATAGTGGAGGCAGTGTCATTTGCTGCAATAATAGAGAAATCGTGGAGGTATCAGTAGTTGCAATAGTAGAGGCACAACATCAATAGTATAATCAGTATCAATAGTGGAAATGGTATCATCACCAGCTGCAATAGTAGAATCAGTATCATCAGTTGCAATAGTAGAATCAGTATCATCAGTTGCAATAGTAGAATCAGTATCATCAGTTGCAATAGTAGAGACAGCATCTTCAGCTGTGATGGAAGCGGTACCAATAGCTGCAATAGTGGAGGCAGTGCCATTAGGTGTTCTAATACAGACAGCATTGAAAAGAAGCTTCGGAGACAACTTCGGTTGCAACTGCAGCGACAGCATCGGATTGATAGCGGATTGGACATACGGGTAAGCATCGGATGCATTCATTATAATAGCGGTCTGGGTCTGGGTGGCTGTAGCCTTAATACAACTGAAAGCTGTAGCTCAGCTACAGTTGCACTTATCTGTGGCGTTGCAACAGTAGCAGCAATTCCTGCAGCAGCATCAACAACGATGACAGTAGCAACCGTTGCAGCAGTAGCAGCAATTCCTGTAGCAGCATCAACAACGATGACAGTAGCAACCGTTGCAGCAGTAGCAGCAATTCCTGTAGCAGCATCAACAACGATGACAGTAGCAACCGTTGCAGCAGTAGCAGCAATTCCTGTAGCAGCATCAACAACGATGACAGTAGCAACCGTTGCAGCAGTAGCAGCAATTCCTGTAGCAGCATCAACAACGATGACAGTAGCAACCGTTGCAGCAGTAGCAGCAATTCCTGTAGCAACATCAACAATGATGACAGTAGCAACCGTTGCAGCAGTAGCAGCAATTCCTGTAGCAACATCAACAACGATGACAGTAGCAACCGTTGCAGCAGTAGCAGCAATTCCTGTAGCAGCATCAACAACGATGACAGTAGCAACCGTTGCAGCAGTAGCAGCAATTCCTGTAGCAGCATCAACAACGATGACAGTAGCAACCGTTGCAGCAGTAGCAGCAATTCCTGTAACAGCATCAACAACGATGACAGTAGCAACCGTTGCAGCAGTAGCAGCAATTCCTGTAGCAACATCAACAACGATGACAGTAGCAACCGTTGCAGCAGTAGCAGCAATTCCTGTAACAGCATCAACAACGATGACAGTAGCAACCGTTGCAGCAGTAGCAGCAATTCCTGTAGCAGCATCAACAACGATGACACTAGCAACCGTTGAAGCAGTAGCAGCAATTCCTGTAGCAACATCAACAATGATGACAGTAGCAACCGTTGCAGCAGTAGCAGCAATTCCTGTAGCAACATCAACAACGATGACAGTAGCAACCGTTGCAGCAGTAGCAGCAATTCCTGTAACAGCATCAACAACGATGACAGTAGCAACCGTTGCAGCAGTAGCAGCAATTCCTGTAGCAGCATCAACAACGATGACAGTAGCAACCGTTGCAGCAGTAGCAGCAATTCCTGTAGCAGCATCAACAACGATGACAGTAGCAACCGTTGCAGCAGTAGCAGCAATTCCTGTAGCAACATCAACAACGATGACAGTAGCAACAGCTGAGTATGTATTCATAATCGACCAATAGCAATCTGTTTCAGTTTCGAATTACATTGACACTCTGCATTGCGTTGTATGAAATGACAGATAACATTCATGAGTGTTAAGTGGCCGTATTCGTAGCTGATGAAGTAGATGATGAGGTGGACACAGCTGTGACGGAGGCGAGGAATCAGTTTGCCAGCATCCAGCAGGTAATGAATTGATGGATCTGTGCACGAGTATCACACACATGACACCACGACTCCGCAAGTTAACCCATGTGATCATTCTCACCCGTAATTGACAATTACGTAATCTTATAATTTACTGCACGCATATGGCTCATTAGCGTATTAATACCACGAGGAGACTCACACGTTTATACTTCAGCTCAGATAGTTCCACAACCAGGGTGGTCTGACCGCGTCGTGTTTCACGATGAAGTTTACATTCATGTCTCACGTCAACATCATGATCCCCATGCATCTCCTCCATCATGGGCGACCTGGGCTGCGACGGCGACCACGGCTCTGACCGTATTGACCAGAGCGATCCGGGAAATGACTTCGTTCAGAACAGACTCAACATAACGAGATGCCATTGCTCGGGATTAGAGGTGGAAAGCCCTTTTCACATCTATCAGTTTCTGCGAGACACTTAATTTACTGGCTAATCCTGGGACAGGCCCGTGTTGGCCCCACTTCGATCGCCGTCTCTTGGTCTCAAGAACACACCACAGAATGCACGCGCAGCCAGGGCAATACGTGAGGCGTTAGCTACACTAAATGGGATAACATGTACCGGATTCTTTTGAGGTTAGGTAGTCAAACCAGATTTGATCATCTTAACCATGCTGTCTGTTCGTTTTAAGTACATCTGGTGTTCTAAACGTACGTAAATCTGGATATAGTTGAGTTTATGAAGACTTTCATGTCTTGGTCTCAAGAACACACCACAGAATACACGCGCAGCCAGGGCAATACTTGATTCTTGTCTGCATGAACCAGATTGGATCAGCTTAACCATCCTGTCTGTCCGTTTTAAGTACATCTGGTGTTTAAAACGTACGTAAAGCTGGATATAGTTGAGGCTACGACGACATTCTCTTGTCGTACTTTTCTTGGATTCTTGGTTCAACGCTGCACTCAACATTCTTCCACATATATGGTGCAAGATAATTTTAAGTTATTGACACCATGAGCATCGGCCGCAACTGTGACCACCCGATCCCATTATTCGCTTCTTTCGACGAGCATGGATTGTTGAAGACGAATTCTAACCAGCATCTTCGTAGATCTCTGATTGTACTTTAATGCCTAGTGGATGCAAACTGTTTGGTTTGAATGTCCTTGTAAAGCATTAACAGCACGAAACATAATATGATGTCTGTAAATATTTGCGGAAGATTTGAGAACACAACCATCTTTCATAGCTCTTCATCATTATTAAATTTACATTACACAGAAAATGAACTGACACTCAATACGGTTTGGCATGCGGAATGTAATATAATTGCATCATATTCTACTATCGTGGAACATATGGCCTGGAGGAATATTGTCTGAACCCGATACGTTGTAGCTCCGTGGCCTTTTGGTGAACACATAAAATACTTCTAAAACCGTGTCATTGCCATAACTTAACAGTGCATTGATCCATCAAGAGGGAGGAAATAACAAAATTGAAGATCCGAGTTAGAATTTGTCTTCAGCAACCCATGCTTGTCGTAAGAGGCGACTAACTGGGTCGGGTGCAAGTGGCCAGGCTCCCTGACTTGATTTCTTTGAGTGGCATTTTAGAAGTTTGGACGTACAATATTGAACAAACTTTAAGGATAACAACTTCTTTATTTCGTGAGTGGGACGTTCCGATGCAGATTCTTGTACCGTTGTCAAGCAGAAAGAAAGTGACTTTTTCTGTTAACGTAATCCACCCGTTCACACAATCACAATACCCACCTGACCTCTGACATAGCAATGTACTGCACTATTCCTGACTGACTGACTGAGTTTGGTTTTACTCCGCTTTTAGCAATATTCCAGCAATATCACGGCGGGGACACCAGAAATGGGCTTCACACATTTTGCCCATGTGGGGATTCGAACCCGGGTCTTCGGCGTGACGAGCCAACGCTTTAACCATTAGGCTACCCCACCGCCCCCCACTATTCCTGAATGCTCCAACGGTCCTTTGTTCACTACTTAATGGCTGTCCACCTTTGCTTAACCTTGCTCCAAGTCCATTGATGTACAGTAATTTTGTTAACATAATAGGCAAAACTAGACAAGCGGAGCCCTTTACAAGTGCACCTTGTTATCATTCTTATATATCTTAAGCTCAACTTTCAGAGACAGTACCTGTTTTCTAAATTATCAGCATTCTTTCTTCTGCATATCTAACATATACTCCTGTTATCAAACAATCATATATATGATTAAACATCTCCCTCACCTCATTGTAATTCTGGGGCGGTGTGGTCGACTGGTGGCTAAAGCGTTCGCTCGTCACGCTGAAGACACGGGTTCGATTCCACACATGGGCACAATGGGTAAAGCCCATTTCTGGCGTCCGTCGCCAAGATATTGCTGGAATATTGTTAAAGGCGGCGTAAAACTGAACTCACTAAATAGAGTAAGTCTACATTTTCCGTATACACTCCCATTCCACTAGAGGCTCCTTTTCAATAACAATGGAGTTGTTTCTACTGCCAAATATATTTCAGAGACCAAGCGATTGTCTGACCATGCATAAAAGTGCGATGATATTGGCCACAACGCTCAACCCCATTACACCTCATTACAGGATAATGACGATTGCAATACAAGAGATTGAAGACGATCGGCAAACCCCGCCATGTTGTCTAATACCACTACACCTCCCGTATTCCCTGGACTCCCCAGGGCTTATCTAGACCACTATCTGCGCCATGTTATATATTCTGTGTCTCTACTCCACGCGTTCCGGAAAGCGGTTTTTGACGGGCGACGTCTACCGCGATCATCCGGAATATTCCCCATTTCGTGCAGACGTTACTAATGCTCCTTCATTAACTCATAGAAAATACGACGTCGCCAACAGCGTGGCTGTTGACGTTACTGTGACCCGCTGTCGTCTTCTTCTCTCGCCCAGACACGGTGTGTCAGCACCACTGCTGTTCCCCTTTCCTTAAAGACAACATTGAGTGGAAAGATTTACGCTACTGCTGTCAACATATTCTTTGTTAAATTGGTCATAGATCTTGCCAAGCAATTCTTCGTGCGAAAGGTTTTAACGCTAAAGGTTTTAGGGGATTACCCAGCGAGGGACCACGGTTCCAGTCATTGTCGTATTCACAAACCCAGCATTTCATCATTACAACAAATAATTACTTTTCGGCTGTTAATAGTGTTATATAGTTAACGTTTCTGCCGGAGTGGTTGGATTGGAAAGACAGGAAGCTTACTTGGGAAGAAACCGTCAGAGCTCCTCACAGTGAAGCAACCTGCACTGCCAGGAGTTACTAAGCTCTTTCCGTCTGTTTACGACAGTCACAAAAATGCTACATCTGGCAATTTAGGAGTAGTTTTATTTCCAGCAACTTCTATTACCTGTGAGGAGCCGACGAGGGAATTATTCACTTTTTTATTTGATGTTCCTCTCCATCACTGCAAGATAGTGCAGCATGCCGCTTTAAGATGCCGGCGACAGCAGTGTTGGAGATCAATGTTAATAGGCTTAACTCTGGAGAAACGGGTACTAAAAAAGGCAGTTTGGTCGTGGAATTGGCGGAGCGTTGAAATGTGAAGCGTCGTAGCTTTTATGGCCTGAATATTGAAGATCGTTTCCTTTGGTGCCGAGCGGATGTATGAACACCACTACCATGCCTTGTGGAAGAAGTTCCCCATATTGTCTGATTTTAACGAGAGATCTATGCGTAATTAAGTGTTCTTTGAATAACTTTGTCGTTGCGCCTTCTCTGAACGCATTTGAAACCTTTGAAGTTGTATTGACGCATGAAGAAGGGTGGCACTGGAAGTGAAGAATGAACCTGTACCCCGCCATTTGTATGGACGCTACGTGCTGTGGTGATATATACACATACAGAAGAGTATGATCGATAAGTTGCTAGTACTCAGTTTCTCCTTGGTTTCGGTTTGATGCTAGTATTGAAGGATGATTTCTTTCAAGCAAGGATCAAACGCCAAAAATAAGCGGTCCTAATGCGTATTGTTTGGCCTTTTCCCTGAATATACACCGAACGCTAAGTCTTCACCCAGGATTGGTAAATGTTATTTCACAATGTATAATATAGTTAGTTTTCCCAGGACATTATTATTATTTCCATCAGTAAATGTAGTAAGTTACTTTAAGTGCATTAGCATAGGTGAAATAGACAATGTTGCTTTGGCAACAGCAGCAATAATAGAGGCAGTATCATCAGTTGCAATTGTAGAGACAGCATCTTTAGAAATAGTGGAGACGGTACCAATAGCTGCAACAGTGGATGCGGTGTCATTTGCTGCAATAGTAGAGACATCATCTTTAGAGCTAGTGGAGACAGGTACCCAGTAGCCAGCGTCAAAAGCGGTGAAAGCCCAGTATCATCCCAGTTGTGAAATAGTGGAGATTTGGTACCAGTCATCTTTAGAAATAGTGGAGACGGTACCAATTGCTGCAATAGTGGAGGCAGTATCATCAGTTGCAAATAGTAGAGAACAGCATCTCTTTAGAAATAAAGTGGAGACGGTTACCAGTAGCCGCAATAGTGGAGGCAATCATCAGCTGCAGGTAAAATAGTAGAGACAGCATCTTTAGAAATAGTGGAGACGGGTACCAGTAGCTGCAAAGTAGAGAGGCAGTGTCATTTGCTGCAATAATAATAGAGGCAGTATCATCAGTTGCAATGAGTAGGGACAATCTCTTTAGCAAATAGTGGAGACGGTATCCGTAGCTGCAATAGTGGAGCCATTGTCATTGCTGCAATGATAGAGACATCATCTTTGAAATCGTGGACGTTACCAGTACGGCTGCAATAGTAGAGGCGGTATCACCAG